GATTTACTATTAACTTGATTTGAGACCCTGTATTGCTCTCACCATCTTGTTTTGACTGATATTCCTCCATTCTGTTTTGCTTGATAGTACCAGATTCGAAAGTATAGGCAACAGCTGTAAAGATAGTGGGATTCATTATGACGCCCATTCTGGTTGACTATTATCTACTTTTGAAGACCTGTAATGTCTCTAATGTTTTGGTTTTGTTGGTTTCGTTCTTTACTGTTTTGTTCAATTTTATTATAACCGATGATATAGGCAATTCTATTAGAGATAGCAGGAGGTATTATGGTAACCACTGTTGATCACCTTGTATTATTGTTTTTACATTATCTGTTACATCCATCCTTTAGATTTGACCTACTCTGTTCTGTTATGTCATATTTGGTTTTACTCTCTTCCAAAAAAAGTAATAAGAACCGTGGGAGCAATAAAACCCCAAATGTGTAATAATCATTGTACAAAAAGAGGAAAAGAAAGTGCTCTAAACAATATAACTGCATGTATATTTAGGTGTATAAGATAGACAATGATATTACTGAGTTTTGTTGGATCATTGAACAGAACTGTTTGGTCTCATTGTTTGAATGTCCACTATATAAGCTTTAATTTTGTAACTTGAACAAATATTTCTAAGATGACAATATGTAATCCATTAACTAGTGATTTCCTACTGTGTATTTTTTTTCTGAAATTCTGTATAACTTGTATCCTTTTTCTGCTTTTTTTTCTTTTTCTCCTTAAATAAAATTTTAAAAAAACCCAATTCAACAACTACAAGATGACGCAAAGAAAAACAACATAAGGTTGATAGGGATTAATGAAAAAGAAGGGGACAACATAAAGGATGTCAAGAGGATATTTAGAGAAGTAATAGCTGAAAATTTCCCAAGCATGAGATCAGAAACTGACATCAGGTTCAGTGAAGCATATAGAACTCCAAATAGTCATAACCATGGAAGTATCTTATTTCACCATTGATTTTGAATGATAGTTTTGCAGGGTACATCAGTCTAGGTTGGAAATCATTTTGCTTTAGGATCTGGAATACTTCACTCCATGCTCTTGTTGACTTTATTGTTTGTGCTGAGAGGTCTGCTGTGATTCTGATAGGTTTTCTTTTATAAGTGATCTGTCTTTTCTCTCTGACAGTTTTTAATAATTTATTCTTGTGTTCAATTTCTGGGATGGTGATTATTATATGTCTGGGTGTAGCCTGTGGTTATGACTAGTCTGACTTTTTTATTCCAAGCTATAAGGTACTCATAAGAGGGTTTGGGTTAATTCAGGAATAGCCATCAGACAAATGTAGGACTGTTCAAGGTGTTTCAGGAATTGTTCAAACAACATGTAGAATAAAAAAGTCAGACTATCTAATGCAATGTATTTATTACTGTTATGCAAATATACACACATATATTCAAATATGTAATCTAGTTTACAATCTAACTTTTGTGTTATTTTAGTTTTGTAATTTATGCTTATGATTCTAGTATTAGTTCCATTTTTCCTCTTTTCTAAATAAAACATCAACTTCAGTTTTGTGCTTTGACTTACAATACTAATAAGCAGTAAAGGTACATTTATGGATAAATTTATTCATAACAAAAATGTAGTCAAATAGATAGTTTAGTTAAGTGAGAAAACTAAACGATATTTTTTAACTGAACTAAAGAGTATGGCAGTATGTTGATTTAAAAAACTTCACATAGTTCTTTGAGTAAGAATCTAGAAAGTTCTCTATAAAAATAATAACAGTGCTCAATGTGTAGTTTGCAAGTCCTGTATAAGAGTCTACCACCTCCAAAAAATGGCTCAGAGAATGGAAGAGAATTGTAATGGATTAAAAACTGGTGGTCAACTTAAACACTAGCTGAGCTGAATCAGCATGGTGCTTAGTATAGATGGCCAAACTGAGGCAATCTGCCAGCATAAGAAGGAGACTTAGGAAGTGAGAAGCATTGTGGGTTCTCCTAAGTGTTGTGGTTTGGAGCTATTTGTTGTCGTGTTGGCTCCCCTGATATGAACTTGATTGGCACAGCTCCTTCACCCTCCTGGCACAGACTTTCTAGCTTCCACAGCTTGGGCCTTCCCAGTGCAGATCTGTGAAGCAGGCTTGCATGAATCATTGTCATAGGTTCTGGGCCTCCAGTTGGACTTGCCAGAGGTACTGTCATGGGCTTTCGGTTTTCAGCAGAACTCATGCAGGATATTGCCATGGATCTAGGCCCTTGGCTAGATTTTCTAGGTCTTTGGTGTGTGTAAGATTTCCCCCACTTCTTGTATTTGACTCTGGGTGACTAACATAAAATACTATTATAAATTATGCGCCCTGTATGTAATTGTTCTCCTGCAACCCCTGACTACAACAGAAGTTATACATAGCTTATTCAGGAAAGTATTTTTCAATTTAAAACTCACAGGTTAAAACTGTTGCAGTAGAATTGCCTTAGCTTCCAGTGGCATGCCACCTTCTGGAAGCAAGGAGTATTTCACTACTAAAAGACTAGAAACTTGGTAAGGAAGCGTAAATTAGAATTATTTAAAAACTATTCTTATTTAGCACTTAATTTTGAAGCTTATGGATTAATAATTAAAACTGAAGAAGAACCAATTTAATGTAATAAAAAAATCATCAGGAAAGATCACCCGAAAGTAAGATTATTTTTGTCTTTTGGTCTTTGTGAGAGAGGGTCTCACTATACAGATCAGACTGGCCTTGGACTCATTTTGTAGCCCGGGCTGGTGATCTTCCTGCCTCAGCCTCCCAAGTGCTGGGATTATAGGAGTATAACACCATGCTCAGCACCAAAAGTAAGTCTTAAGCAAATAGAAAAATAAAAATTCATATTAATATTTGGCTCAAAAATTCTGAAAATTTTCATTCTGTTTTTCTGCTTTAAATCAGAGTTAACATAAAATTTCAAGAATAATGTCTTTATTCTGAAGCAATGCTTGTTTACAGAAAGAGGAACTAAACTTGATGTATGAGTCCATACAGCTATATCTCAAAAGTGTAACAAAGTAAAAAAAAGTCAGAAATACATTTTTCATGTGCTAATGCACCACTTAAAGTGGCTCTAAACATTTAAAGTCACAGAGTACTTAAAAATATACGTAAAAATGTATGTCTCCAATGATAGCCAGAAGGATTATAAACATTACTTACAAAAATAAAAGAAACTAAAAAATGTTCCCTCAAACAACAAAACCTCATTTTATTTAATTACCAATATTTTCTTATATAGCTGGTGTAATATGTATTTCCTATAAGTAATAAATAATAGCAGCACTGTAAATTACACCATATTATTGTTTTTCTGTGTTGTAGTTGTGTGTGTTGCCAAATACAAAATGAACTACGTAGGTTAAGTGAAGCTTTACAGTATAAAGCACTTTTAATTGGAATTTCATTATGGATAGCATAGCATATTTCTGTTAATTTGCTGGCATTAATAATTTAAAAATATTAATGCTTGGGACCTACAGGAATGAAGTCATCTGGTAGATGTAAAGCTTCTTTCTAGAGAAGATAATTTGGAATAATTTAGCCAGAGGCCTATCGCAAGGGACCTTTCAAGAACTTTACTAATTCTAGTGCAACATCAATTACTGTGTCAATATTGAGTGCCTGTTATTTATAAGGATCACTGTGTTTAAAATCAAGCAGGTGGCCTCAGACTGTGAAACAAAGGGGTAAGTGGTTTTATCAGAGGGAATTAACTCTTCAGTGGTTAGATACAGAAACATACTTGTTAGGATTTCATTTCTCACAAAACTGCTTATGAACTCTACAATGCTGTGCAAGTGAAGGGAATATATAAAGCCTTCAGAGAGCTGTTAGGAAGGGAAAATGAAATTATATAAAGGGCTTGCTGGAGTTCTGGAATATAGTAAGTATTCAGTTAATATCAGCACCTGTTAATATTTTAATCTGAATCTTAACTGTTTCAAGAGTGTTTCCTTAAAATCACTAAAAAAGCTTTTGAAATTATCTATAGTCTATATTTCTTAGAAGACAATTTTCAATCTTTCTCTATTAATATTTAACATCAGGGAAAATACCACAATTGCATCAAGCTAGTTACTGATGGAATAACAGAAAATAAAGTGAGTAAGAGGCAAAGAAGTCCAAGGGAATATATGGGGGAAGAGAAAGACTGGTGAGAGACTGACACTGGACAAGTACAAGCAATAGAGGCTAAAGGGAGAAAATGCAGAGAAGGCAAAGAAAGAAAAGATAGTCTCTAACAAGTGTAAGAAGGTAAGTGAGAAAGGAAACGGGAGAAGTTGCAGTTTGTCAGTTTAGGCACTGACGCTGTTTTAAGAGTCAAATGGTCTGGGTTCTGATCACTGTGAAATTCATGATTTTAGAATATACTGCTTATCCTCACTAAAAGCATTTTTCTTTGGAGTTTGTAGGGCGCATTATTAGATGTGACTAGTGGAGGTATGCTATGTTAATGAAAAAACTATTTCAATAAGGAGTTAAGATGGAGAGAGAAGGGGAGGGCACGTAGGTGTGGACAGGGCAGGCGAGGACTAAAGGAAACCGCGGGAAGGACGTCCCTGAGGCTACCGCAGTACCTGCTCCAGCGCCGAGCTGACAACTTGCCAGGTACGTTGTTAGAGCTATACGTGCATAATTTCATTTTATCCTTATGGCATCTCTATAAACCTAAATTACTATTACCCTCGTTTTATAGAGATTTCGGAAGCAGAGGGTTTTGAAATTTCCTAAGGGAAATGGCTGAGAGGGGATTCAAATTCATTTGACTATCTGCAATATCAACCCCGTTAAAACCACCTCTATGAACCTCCACAGATACTTTGTGCGTGTAAGGTGAGTTCTGGTTCTGGTTATTTCAAAATTTCTCAGTTAAATGTCAAGAGCCGCTCGCCACACACTTTCCTCAAAGCTCCGCTCCCCCATCGAAAGCGTCCAGTCTCCAAGGAGATCGGCCGGGGCTGGACTTCCGGCTCACGCGCAGGCACTTCCTCTTTGAGCCGGAAGCGCCGGAGTTAACTACGCTGGTGCTTGTGCTTGAGGATTTTTTGGAGAGTTTGTGCCCCTGAGACATCTTTGTGCGGCGCGGCGATGCTGACCCCCGCGTTCGACCTCAGCCAGGATTCCGACTTTCTGACCATTGCCATCCGCCTGCCCTACGCCCGGGTCTCGGAGTTCGACGTCTACTTCGAGGGGGTCGACTTCAAGTTCTATGCCAAGCCGTACTTTCTCAGGCGAGTTCTGGGTGTCTGGTGACGGGAGCGCGTCTGTGGGGAGGGAAATCATTCATTCATTCATCCATCCGTTCATTCATGCTTATTGAGGTAGATGAAAGTGTGAGGGAACAGTTCTCAATTTAACGGAGGTTTCCATGGTTTCTTTGGCCATGACAAAGTAACCTTGCCGGGCACGCGTCTCACTTGCTGCAAAAGCTTCTTTTCCGAAACCTTGAGCCTCTGGTTAAAGAGTTTTCGGAACCATTTTGCAACGTGACGTCTAGACCGTGTCACTTTTGCACGCTCTGTCGCCCGAGTTCTCAATCCTTCCTGATTATTTAGTGATTTTTTTCTACCGTTTGCGTTCGTGCTCCCCGCTTCTCTCCTCCACGAGCACCGCGTGCGCTGACCTCCGCGGTGACTTCCTTCCTTCCCGTCCACCTTCTGTTTGTAGACGTCTTGACTGCGTGCGCGTGGTTCCTAAAAATGTCACTCTTCCTTGGTCCCCTTGACAGAACTGCCTTCACGCTTACTGCTCCTCCACGGTTTGGTTTAGCTCCTTCGTTGTGGTTTTCTCCAAATCTTTGTGAGGGTGGACAGCATTTGTCTGTTGTGATCTTTCTCCTTACAGAACTATAAGTACAGTACATAGCACGAACTCAGATCGCTTTCAGTTGGGTGGGCAAGTGAGCAGCCTGTAGTGCGCTACGTGCTTCTGTTATTTAAGTTGACAATTTCAGGAGATGGGCACTATTCTTGGCTCCATTCTAAAGGCGTCTTTCCTAGGTTATTCTTTTTTAAAAATTTTTTTTATTTAAAGGGGAAAAAGAAACAGGATAAGGGTACAAGTAATGCAGAATTACAAAAAAAAACGGTAAGAAATCACTAGTTAATAGATTACATATTGTCATCTTAGAAATAGTTGTTCAAGTTACAGGATTAAAGCATACAAAGTGGACATTCAAACAGTGAGTCTGCAAACAGTTGTGTTCAATGATTCAACAAAAATTCAGTAATAATGGTCATCTAAACACACCTAACCACACTTGCAGCTGTATCCTTTAGAGCATTTTTTTCCTCTCTTTTTTACAACAAAATTTACATATTTTGGGTTTTATTACTCCCATAGTTCTTATTACTTTTTTTTTGGAAGAGAATAAAACCAAATATGACAAAACAAAGCAGTCAGTCAAAACAAAGGATAGACATAGCACATGATGTAAAAACAGAATTCAAGGTTACCAACAATGGTTACCATAATGCCTCTTGCTTCCTTAAAAAGAATTGCTTATATCATTAGGTATAATAAAATTGAACAAAACAGTACAGAACAAGACCAATAAAAGCTAAACATTGGAAACATCACAGGACTTCAAAACAAGATAATAGTCAAACCAGAAGAATGGGCATCATAGTGAATCTTATTGCCTTCAAAGTAGTCGTGTGTACCCTCAAACTTGATCCTATCGAACAGAACGGAACAGAGTCTAATAAGTCAAAACAAGGTAATGGGAGTACTGCCGGGCTTCAAATCAAGTTAATAGGAAATCAAAAAGTTACTATAATATATCCTAATTTTAAAATTTTTCCCCTTAATTAAAAAAAATTAATAAAAAAAATTTAATGAATAAGAGAATAATTAATAATAGATTGAGATAAAAGAGGACATAACAACATAACAATACAGGTCAAAGCATGACAGTTTCAGCAACCTAGTGCTTCACCACCAAATAACCCGACTTAATAGTAGTTACCATAGTGTCTCTTTCCTTGAAATATTTGAATATAACTTCGTATACTATAGCATCAAACATATCAAGACAGTGTGAAACCATTCAAGTGGATGGAAGTATTACAGGATATTTAAAACCAGCTAACAGAAAATGAACAATGGTTTCTATATTATCTCTTTGCCTATAACAATTTTTGTTTATACTATCACATATAATAAAATTCAGTAAGATACAACATGATAAAACCCATGGAGACAGAAGAGCAACAGTTTGGTGGGACTTCAAAACAAGATGATATTAAATCCTCACTAGCTATTATGATGTCTTGTTTTCTTCAAAATACCTGTTCATTTCATCACAGGCAATAATATCAAATAATAGAATAAAGCCATTCCAATTAATGAGTGAAAACTTTATAAGGTTTCAAAGCCACATAATGGGGAATCATGATTACCCACATACTTTTATATATTTCAATCAATTCTTACACTAGGGAAACTATTTGGTATTCATACATGTGAATTTGATTTATTTCACTTATGAATATGGTCTCAGGCTGCACCCATTTATATATAAATATCTCAATGTGATCCTTCTTTAGCTGACTAGTACTCCATTGTATAAAACTACCACAACTTTTTTATCCATTCCTCAGTTGATGGACACTTGGGTTGTTTCCATGATCTGGCGGTTACAAATTGTGCTGCTATAAACATAGGTGCACATATATCACTGTGGTATGATGCTTTCAGTTCTTCTGGGAATATGCCTAGAAGTGTAATAGCTGGGACAAATGGGACTTCCAATCCCAGATTTTTGGAGAAATCTCCAGACAAACCTCCACAAAGGTTGTACCAGTCTACACTCCCACCAAAAGTGTAGGAGAGTACCTTTTTCCCTACAGCCTCTCCAGCATTTGTTGTTGTTGGTTTTCTTGATCCTTGGCCATTCTTTTAGGAGTGAGATGGAATCTCAGTGTGGTTTTAATTTGCATTTCTCTAATGACCAATGACGATGAACATTTTTTCATGTATTTATTTGTCATTTGTATTTCTTCATCTGAGAAGTGCGTATTCATCTCAGATGCCCATTTTTGGATTGGAGCTTTGAATTTTGGGGGTCTGAGTTTTTAAATTCTTTATATGTTTTACACAAAAGTCCTTTGAGGGAGAGTTCACTAAGATTTTTTTCCCAGTTTGTGGGTTTTCTTTTCACTATGCTGGAGATTTCTTTTGACATGCAGAAACTTTTTAATAAGAGGTAGTTCCAGTTATTGATTCTGGGAAGTATTTCCCATGTGGTTTGAGTCCTGTTCATGAATTCTCTACCTACCCCTATGTCTTCAAGGTTTCTACCCAATTTGTCTTCCAATAGATTTAGTGTTTCTGTTTTAATATTCAGATCTTTGTGATCCATTTAGATTTTAATTTAGTACATGGTGATAGGCATAGGTCTAGTTTTAGTTTTCAGCAAGTGGAGAGCCAGTTTTTCCAAAACCATTTATTAAAGAGACTATTGTTCTTCCAGTGAACCTGCTTGGCCCCTTTATCAAAGGTAAGGTGGTTGAGTGTGTTTGTAGTTGTGGTTGTATCTTCTAATCTATTCCATTGATCTTTGGCTCTGTTTTGATTCCAGTACCATGTTGATTTTACTACTGTTGCTTTGTAGTAAAACTTCAAGTCAGGGATTGTGATGCCTCCTGCCTTGCCTTTGTTGCTTAGCACTGTCTTTGCTATTCTAGGTCTCTTCTCACTCCAGATGAATTTTAGGAGTGATTTCTCTAGATCTGTGAGGTATGTTGATGGCATTTTTATTGGGATTGCATTGACTCTGTATAAGAGTTTTGGGAGAATGGCCATTTTCACAATATTTATTCTTCCTGTCGAGCAAGGGATGTCGTTCCATTTTCTGAGATCATCTTCAATTTCTTTTTTCAGTGTATTATAATTTTCCCTGTATAGGTCTTTCACTTCTTTCATTAGGGTAATTCCTAAATATTTTATTTTTTTGCTTATTAGTGTGAAGAGTGTGGTTTCTCTTATTTCCCTCTCTGTGATTTTGTTGTTAGTGTATTGGAATGCTATTGATTTCTGAGTATTGATTTTGTATCCAGCTACATTACTGAATTTATTTATTATATCTAAGAGTCTTTCAATGGAGTTTAGGAGGTCTTCTATGTAGTAAAGTATCATGTCATCTGTAAACAATGATAATTTAACTTCTTTTCCTATCTTTACCCCTTTTTATTTCTCTGTCTTGTCTAATTGCTCTGGCTAGTACTTCCAGTACTATATTAAATAGGTGTGGTGATAAAGGACGTCCTTGTCTTGTGCCTGATTTTAAAGTAAAAGCTTTCAATTTTTGGCCATTTAGTATGATGCTGGCTGTTGGTTTGTCCTAAATGGCCTTTATTATATTGAGGTAAAGACTATCCCAACTTTCTGTAAAGTTCTTATCATGAATGAGTGTTGGACCTTATCGAAGGCTTTGTCTGCATCTATAGAAATGATCAAGTGATTCTTACTTTTGGCTTTATTGATACGGTGGATTACATTTATTGATTTACGTATGTTGAACCATCCCTGCATTCCTGGGATGAATCCCACTTGGTCATGGTGTATAATCTTCTTGATGATTTGTTGCATCCTATTTGCCAATATTTTATTGAGGATTTTTGCATCTGTGTTCATTAGGGAGATCGGTCTATAGTTCTCTTTTTTAGTTGGGTCTCTCTCAGGTTTTGGTACTAGAGTAATATTTGCTTCCAGGAATGACTTAGGAAGGATGGCTTCCCTTTCAGTTTCATTGAAGAGTTTGAGGAGTGTTGGCATTAGGTCTTCTTTGTATTTCTTGTAGAATTCTGCAGTGAATCCATCTGGGCCTGGGCTCTTCTTTGTAAGAAAGGACTTAATTACATTTTCAATTTCGTTCATAGACATTGGGTTTATTCAGCAGTTTTACATCCTCTTGACCTAGCTTTGGTACTTCATATGTTTCTAGGAATTTGTCCATTACTTCTGTGTTATCAAACCTTTGAGAGTAGAGGTTTTCGAAATAGGTGTTGACGATCTTCTGTATTTCTGTAGAGTCTGTAGTGATTTCACCTTTTTCATTTCTTATTGCATGAATTCGAGCTGTTTCTTCCTGTTTTAAAATAAGGTTGGCTAGGGGCTTATCGATTTTATTATTTCAAAGAACCAACTCTTTGATTCATTGATTTCTTGGATTGTTTTCTTAGTCTCTATTGCATCGATTTCTGCTCTGATTTTTATAATTTCCTCTTTT